GCCCCGCAGGCTGCACGGGAGGCAGCCGGCAGCCCGGGGAGGGCCCGCAGACTCGGGGCCGACTCCCAGCCCGGGCCGGGTCCGGTTGCTTCCCCGGGGTCCACGCCGTCTCCCTCCCCGGGCTCCGGACGCCGGGCCACACGCTCACCATTTTCGGCTTCCGGGGTTCCTGCGATCTCCCTGCGGAGCTGCCACCGATGCAGGTCACAAGGCGAAAGGGAACGAGGCGGAGTCACGTGGGCCCACAAAGCGGAAGAGAAGGCCCCTAAGATGGCGCGCTCCATACACAAAGGCCCCGGAGAGCGTGAGAGCCCGCCCCTTCCGCTCTGCCGTGCGTCTGATTGACAGCGCGCGCCTGCCCTCAGCCTCTGAATGACAGCAAAGGACACCAACCCAGGGTCGGGAAAGCCTGCACGAGCGGGTTCTTGGCTGCAGCTTTTTTGTTTTCTTTCTTTGTTGTGCTGGGTATGGAATCCAGAGACCGTTCTTGACGTTTTTTTTTTTTTTTTTTTTTTTTTTTTTGGTCTGTTTGAGACAGGGTATCACTATGCAGTTCAGGCTGGCCTTGAGCTCACTTTGTAGCCCAGGCTGGTCTCGAACTCACAATGATCCTCCTGCCTCAGCCTCCCCGAGTGCTGGGATTACAGGAGTGTGCCACCACGCCCGGCTTGACGCTATTTTTAAATGAGAGCTTCCTTCGTATAGGGGCTCGCAGCCTACCACTGGGATATTTGTATTTAACCTGTGAGTAATCTCCTAGCAACTTACTAATCACATATATTTGTGTTATTCACAAAGGAAAAGAATATAATGACAGTTATTTTGAAATTTCACTCATTATAGGCGTGGTGACGCACGCCTATAATCCCAACACTCGGGAGGCTGAGGCAGGAGAATCGTTGAGAGCTGGAGGCCAACCTGGGCTACAAAGTGAGCTCAAGGTCAGCCTGAACTGCATAGCGAGACCCTGTCTCAAAAAGACAATAAATAAATAAATAAATAAATAAATTTTACTCATTTGGTTTCTAGTCTTGTAAGGAGATAGTTTAAGATTTGAAATGGAAAACAATCCCCTAAATTTTGATGCAAAAGTGTAATTTTTAGTATCCCATTATTCACGTTTAAAAGGAAATTGAGACAGGAGAAACTGATTGTAACAATTTAACCAATATATCCAAGATATTACCATTGTAACATATGATCATTATAAATTATTCATAGCTATATATGGTAATAAATCTTTAAAACTGTTGAAATCCTGGATCTCACTTCAGAGCCGCTACATTTTAACTTGTAGAACTATGACTCCCCTGACCTCAGCGAGTTGAAGGCCCTGAACCCCTTTTATGCCAGAGGTGGGGGTCACATCAATATGCATACTCCGGCACAAGGAGGGGTAATCAGAATTTTCTATTTTATATTTTTATTTTGCTCTACAGAACACCCTGTGAACATATTCAATTTCACCATCTACCTACTGGAGGAAGAAATTGTTGTAAACTGTGTATGCAATGAAAGAAGACTAGCATGTAGATATATGAAGACTTCTCCAAATTTAAGAGAAAAAAAAGGAGAATAACAGGGTCAAAAACATTACTGAGGGCCGGGAGTGTAGCTCAGCGGCACAAGCGCCTGCCTGGCAAGCGCAAGGTCCTGAGTTCGATTTCTGGTACCAAAAAACAAACAAACATTATTGAGCCGGGCGTGGGGGTGCACACCTATAATCCCAGCACTCAAGAGGCTGAGGCAAGAGGATTGTTGTGAGTTCAAGGCCAGCCTAGGCTACAAAGTGAGCTCAAGGACAGCCTGAACTGCATAGAGAGACCCTGTCTCAAAAAGACAAAAAAAAAAAAAAAAAATTCTTGACCACTGCACCAAAAAGTATATACAGATGATAATTAAACACACCAAAATACAAACATCGCTGGGTGTGGTGGTGCATGCCTGTAATCCTAGCACTTGGGAGGCTGAGGTAGGAGGGTCGTTGTGAGTTCGAGACCAGCCTGGGCTACAAAGTGAGCTCAAGGGCAGCCTGAACTGCAGAGTGAGACCATGTCTCAAAAAGACAAAAAAAAAAAAGAAAAAAAAAAAGGAAAAAAAATATATATAAACATTCGTTATGAGAGAGAAATTTAAAACTGGAATTTTAAAAATTAAAAATTGGACATTAAAACCACAGTGAGACATGGATGTTAATTTATCAGCATGACCAAAATAAAAGGGAGAACATCAGTAAATGAGGGTGCTGAGCACAAAAACTAGATAAGATAAATTCCTGGTTGGAAGCTAAAATGTTACAAGTGCTCTGGGAGACAGTTGGCACTATTTAAAAACTAAACTTGCAACTACTGTGAGTCCGCTATTGTGCTTCTAGCCTCTTATCAAAGAGGTATGGAAACTTAGGCTCACACAAAAACTTCTACTCAAATATTTACATTTGCTTTATTCCCTGTAGACCAAAGCCGACCAAAAAAACTACATGTTAAAGAAACTGTGGTACATTAGTACTGTGGAATACTACTCAGCCATAAAAGGAAATTTATCATTTGTATACATAAAAATCTCTATGGATCTCCCTGGAATTATACCCAGTGGGGAAAAAAAAACATTCTATAAAATTATACAGTTGCATGGTATGTGATTACACTTACATAATACTTTAAGGTAGAAAAGATATGAAACAGATTAGTGGTTGCCAGATGAATACAGAAAATTAGGTATAAGAGAAAACCGGGGATAGTTATAGAATTATAAGTGTTCTTGTGTTGATGGAAATGTTCTCTTGCTCACTCTTTTTTTTTTCTTTTTGAGACAGAGTCTCACTATGCAGTTCAGGCTGGCTTTGAGCTCACTTTGTAGCCCAGGCTGGTCTCAAACTCACAACGATCCTCCTGCCTCAGTCTCCCAAGTGCTGGGATTATAGGTATGGGCTACCACACCTGGCCAAGTTGCTTTTACTTTAAGCCATTAAGCTTGTGATCATTTATTTCTGCAGCATAGGAGACCAGGATTTCTTACAATGTAAATATACTATGTAACCAAATTTGTGTCCTGGAAAAGTAGCCAGTGGTAAGTGGTAGCTGTCAAAGCTAGGAAAATTTTTTGAGGAACATAATTAAAGGGTTACTGACTGCTCAGATGTCAGCATAGCTTGATCAACTTCTACCATCTGACTGAAGTAACAATACATCCTGATTCTTTTTTTTTTTTGGTCTTTTTGAGACAAGGTCTCACTATGCACCCTGTGTGATTCGTCACTTAACTGCAGCTTCCCTGGACATCAATCTAGGCAATGGGCTGCTGGGCGTGGTGGCGCACGCCTGTAATCCCAGCATTCGGGAGGCTGAGGCAGGAGGATCCTTGTGAGTTCAAGGCCAGCCTGGGCTACAAAGTGAGCTCAAGGTCAACCTGAACTGCATAGTGAGACCCTATCTGAAAAGACCAAAAAAACCCAAAAACCAAAAAAAAAACTAGGCAATGGGACTTGAGGAAATCATTTCCTTCAATCTAGACAGAGAGCATTTCTTTTGTTTTGAAGTACATCACGTACTGTAACAAATTTGCTGTAACAAATCTTTTCTCCTAAGGTCAACAGAGATGTATATTTTACTTGTAATTAACAAATAGGATTGGCACATGGAGAGGTTTGCTACTCTTACAAATATCCTAGTAACTTTTGTTGTTAATTTTGGAGACTGGCTAATTTCTTTCCTGCTCCTGCCTTCTGCTACGCTGGAAACTTGTTATTTTGCTGGCCAGTGTTTCTGTGACCTTTTGCGGGATGAGTACGGTGACACGTTAAGGTCCTCTCCTCTCTTCTTCTAGCTTAAGGGGCTGGTGTTTCCTGAGATTCCCATGAGTGTCTTTGAGTCTGTCGAAGTAAGAGGTGTGGTAATTGGAGGTCTCATTCCGCCTTAGTTTATTTTCCCCCCAAAAGACATGAAATGGGAGTGTGTGAAAGGAGTATATTTGAAGTAAGCCCCCAAAACAAGTATGAAGACATAGGGTGTGAGACAGGAAAGGGGGAAAAGCCAATGAAGGGTGTGGTGCTAAAGCAGTGAGCGCTAGGAGAAGGCCCGTGTCTCTCTCTGCTTGGCCACTTTCTAAGGTGCTATGTGTTTCAATGAGCCCCGTCCACGTGCTATAAAGACACCTTTATGTCATCTAACAGCTGGCCATCAGCTCCTTGGCCTCCCCTGTGAGCGAACTGAGTGAGTTCTCTTCCATCCGCCTACGACTGACACATTGAGCATTAAAATTCAAATGTACTGGGACTCTGTCGTTGTCTAAGGGACTGTTCTCTACATTGATAAGCGGGCTCAGGGGTGTCAGCAGTGACACCCAGTCATCTGTGCACTTCTTTCTTGGCACTTTTCAGTGAAAATCAAGTCCCACATTGAGCTCCCTTTCCTCTCATTTCAAGGCAGAATCTCAAGAAGAACTTAAAATAGAAGAGTTAGTAGAACAAATCACATTTCCTGTTGCCTCAGTTTGACAATTTTCCACATTCTGGTTTGTGCTGATTATGTCATGTTGGGGTCATCTAGCAAATTTCTCTGTCTGTGTATTTCCTATAAATTATTGACTCGAAAGGCTTGACCAGATTAGATTTAATTTTTGGCAAGATGACTTCAGAGGTATTTTTTCTTCTTTCTCCAAGTGGGGCATACTGTTTGGCTGTGTCTCTATTTGTAATATTCAGAGCTTGTGGTGATCATTACTTAGATCCATTGATTTATTGGTGGTTGAAATGGTAATACTGTTAAAAAAAAAAGTACTGAAGCCAGGTGTGGTGGCACACGCCTGTAATTCCAGCACTTGAGGGGCTGAGGCAGGAGGATCGCCACTAGTTGTAGGCCAGCCTGGGCTACATAGTACATTCAAGGCTTGGACTACACAGCAAGACCTTGTCTCAGAAAACAAAGAAACAAAGAAAACAAAGCAAAACAAAAAACTACAAAGAATGGGAGAGGGGGTTAGGTGAGTGCGGGACACGCTGACTTACTGAAGTTAGCTATTGTTAGTGTAATTAGAGAGTCACTGCTTTCATCTGAAAGAAAAAGGCAATGTGGTGATTTCTAGCATGTAGATCAGGAAAAATCACAGGTTGGGAAGTGAAGGCCGGTGGCACCAGGCTCATGTAAATCTACCTCTAGGCAAGAGAAAGCCGGCTTTCAGAAGGGTGGCCCTGATACTTTGCAGAAGCCTTTCTACCTTCTGGAATGTGGCTAATCCCTTTCATCTTCTTCTCCCTCCAGCTAT